TTCTTGCATGACAGTCCTACACTGAACACAGTAGCCCTCACAATTGTCCAAGCCATTTCTCATCCCCTTCATGCTTACTTTGGCACAGTTGAGCAGAACTTACAACCACTCTATGGGGTAAATCTGTTCTTCCCCCTCTCCTAAACAGATCCAGGCAGTGCAAGCACAGCCACAGCTCACGCTGTTTGTGGATGTGCATGCACTGTGTGCACAAACACAGCATGTTCAAAGGAACCAGGACTAAATGCAAACTATCAGCTGCCATCCAGCAGGCTGAGAGCTGTCAGAGAAGCTTCTGACAGCCAACAGGAGGCACATGGCAGCTACAGCAGGAGGACACAAGACATTGCTTTTCGTGGAAGAGTGAGTCTGTATTACAGACTGGCCATTTGCAGGATGCTCCAGTGCTTTCTCACTCCCTCTGTACTTTTATAGCAAACTGTCAGTCAGGGGAAGGGTTAAAAACAAAACTTGGTAGGTTAAACTGTTATGTTAACAGAATAACTGTCAGTAGAATATTTACATGAATAACAAATGATCCCCTAGAAGCTGATGCTCTTTGCATGGTCAACTTTCAAAAATCAATTGTCTGACAAGCAAAGGAGCAAGAGTGAACATCGCTCTCAAGATATTCACTACCCACTCTAGTGGGCAAAAATATGCCCTCAATGTTTATACCAGACCTGGGTTTCCAGATCTGTAATAAACATTTGCCACCCATGGGAACTGATAATGAGAGAGTAAAATTTTGCATGACCAGCAGGCCTAAAAAAGGCAAAGAGCACAAAGTACCCACCATTTGCAGAGGGCATAAAATGAATTTTAAACATGTGTCCCTAGAGCAGAATGTCCAAACTCCTCTCATTACATTGTATGCAATTGGCTTAATCTTCAGAAATGCTCACAACTGGGACCTTTGATGTGCTTGGTTCCACTGAAAATGAGGAGGGATGCTTAGCTGGAAAAAAATTAATTAGAATCCTTTGTTAATGAGATAACCTGAGCCAAGATTCCAGTATAACCACACTGAGTTTGGGACAGTTATAGAAAATTAGTAATTTAATAAGTTTACAGATAAATTTTATTATGTGGAATCCTGTACATCCAGCTCCCATTTATTTTCCACCTTAACTCTTAAAATTGACATCTTAATTATTTTGCCCAAATATACTGGAGGTGTAAAATAAAAATAAAGCAGCTGCACATCTAATTGAGTGTTTTGCCAAAAATGCTATAACTTTCAGAAGAAAGCTCACAGTCATCTAATCATACAAAGGTACTATAAACCTAAACAGATTCCTAATCTTTTCACTTGAGCATTCCCCTGAGATGAGCGAATTAATAGTTCTTGTCATTACTGGGACAGAAAATATAACAACAGATGTCTGTATTCACTTGTCTAAAGTTCTTAGAAAATTACAAGATTTTCTGTCTCTTGAAGTTTATCTGCTATGAGTTCTGTAGATTGGTTGCTCATTACACTAAATATGATTACCCCTTAGTGACCCAAGTAGCGAGCAGTAATTGAGGGTCCTAAGGTGTTGGTTTTGATACTGAGAGGAAAAAAAAAACTGTTGAATAATCAGTCATTCATTTGATGTAAACCTGTCTGTTCCCTTATTGGCAGGAAACCTGAATATCTCCCCTTTCTGCTTTGTTGCTTCATTTTGTTATACTCTGCCTTCCCAGAGCCATACTCACCCTTTTTCTTCTGCCTGTATCTCCAGCTTCTTCTTCTTTGTTTATCTTTTTAATGCTTCTTTCTCTCATCTAGGCATATAAACTATTAAAAAAAAATCATTGCCCAGCATATTTGCTTCCCTCTGAAACTTCTTGGGTCATGGGGTCAATATTGTCTCGTATTTTTTTGAGCCTGTGATAGGGTGGTGCATCTTCTGCCTCAAGTAGCCGATTCCTCTGAGAAGCTTGGCTGTTTTTCATGATCTAGCTGAACAGAAAACTATCACCAGGCTTACTAACATAACCATATCAATGCAGTTCTAGTTGCATTTCAAAGTGTTTTCAACTTCCAGAACATGTTTTTATCCTTGTATTAAATAAAAATGGTCTACTTTCCTTTTTACCATTGACTCTTTTACTTTCTGAGAGGGTGCTTGCACCATTCGCTCCTTTTCAAATATGTGTCTCCTCATGGTTTACAGAATCACAGAATATTCTGGGTCAGAAGGGATCCACAAGGATTACTTAGTCCAACTCTTGGCCCTGCACAGGACCATCCCCAAGAATGACACCATGTGCCTGGAAGCATTGCTCAAATGCTTCTTAAGCTCTGTCGGGCTTGGTACTGTTTAGACTTCTCTCCTTTAGTGACATCTCATTAGTGATTTTTTGCCTATTCTACCTTTGTGATACTTTTCGGTATCTTTTTGAGATGAGGAAAACTGAATGAACTTACCATTTCCACCTTTAATGAAGAGGATCTATGGTTGTTCGGTGCTCTGGACAACATTAGCTTTATCCATAGAGATAGCAAGGAACTCTATGTGCATTTGAAGAGGAGATATGGCATGGCTCACCTTTCAATGACACCACTTCTCTCATCTTCAACTGTATTTAGAGTATTTCTGCTCATAAAATTGATGCAAGTTATATTTGTATCTTGTCTACCTAAGTGTTTACATATTAAAATATTGTCAGTTATCAATGATGACAGTGTGTCTGGTCCTCCTCTGGAGACAGAGTATTACTATATGTCATTAGCAGTGTTGTTAATGAGATAATGCTCATTATACTGGGCGTCTCAGTAAAGTTGACACCCATCATCTAATATTGGTTTCCTTTTAAGGGGGAAAAGTGAGATTGAGGAATTCAGCTGAGATGTGGTACCCAGTGGTTCCAGCTCCTGGTCTATTAACTGTATTTTTTCCCCTAAGCCAACAACAGTAAGGCAGTTAGGGTTTACAAAGGGAACCCCAAGCAGATTGTTGACTTTCAAGAAATGTTTAAAGAGAAGCTCCTCTTATTATACACAATGCAATATTGAACCAAATGTTGAAGATTCACATTTTCTAAACAGCAGATCTTGGTTTACCTCATGGAATGTTTTGTGTCCTTCATAACCCACCTGTTTATACACTGACTTTGCAGAGCCCAGTTTTCCAGGCTCCATAGGGTAATGCTATTTTTATTCAACCTTCTACCATTCAGACCAAGACTAACACAGAGCATGATCAGAATATTCATGATCCCTGCTGGGGGAAAGACTGCAGCCCCCTCGCCCCTCCTCACCTTGCTGCCCTGCCCTGGTAGCTGGGTTGGGCTGGGCTGAGGAAAGCAGGGTCAGACAACAGTGATTTTGGTCTGAGATACCACAAATAACCTGAGATTTGTGGTAAAATCTGTGGGTATTCAAAGAAAAGAAAACAACAACAAAAAGGCCATCAGCTGCTGTGGCAGTGACAGCACAGCTAGGGCACCTGCTGAAAACCTGCTGCTTTACACGAGCCAGTGTTAATTTATTTAATTTGCATGGTTACCCTTGGCATTTGCTGGCCATAATGCAAGCTGTTCATTTGCATTTATGGACAGACAGTAGAGGTTATCAATCCCTTCTAGCAGAAATTAAGCTCAGAACTTCGAGCAACTTTTGAGCCCTGTCTTAAAAATAAGTGCCAAGGAAAACAAGGTGCCTGGGGAGCACAACACAGGATAATGCAAAAGTGCAGAGTTGGTACCAAAAGGTGCAGAAAATCCAGATACCAAGGGCCAAAGTCACCACTTTTAGGACTCGAATCTTAATTTCAATATAACAATTTTTATGAATTTGGAATCTTTAAACCCAAATTCTTTCCTTCCATCCTACCCAAATTTTCCTGGGCAAGTGTCCTGGGCCGGACCGAAGCTGCTCCCTGACTCCACAGGTTCCCACTGTTTGTCAGACGGCTGTCCTGCCTCCCTCAGTGGTGAGCGGAGTGGATGCAAAACACTCTAACCCCACTCAGAAAGGGGTGAGCTGCACCCCGAGCCCTGGCTACACCCGGAGCCCTGCCGGCTGCCCGCTCTCCCCGCCGCCCAACCTGTTGCCCGGGCCCCAGCGTCACACGCCAAGCGCAGAGGGACGGCCGGGGACAAGAGAGGGCGAGCGCGTGCAGCCCACGCGTGGCGCGCCCGGCTCATGGAACCGCTGCCCGCCCGTGACGGGGCACGGACCGCGACGCTCTGCCCCGCTGCCCGCCCGTGATGGGGCACGGACCGCAGCGCTCTGCCCCGCTGTCCTCCCGTCAGAGGGGCACGGACCGCAGCGCTCTGCCCCGCTGCCCGCCCGTGACGGGGCAGGGACCACAGCACTCTGCCCCGCTGCCCACCCGTGATGGGGCACGGACCGCAGCGCTCTGCCCCGCTGCCCGCCCGTGATGGGGCACGGACCGCAGCGCTCTGCCCCGCTGCCCGCCCGTGACAGGAGCACGGACCGCAGCGCTCTGCCCCGCTGCCCGCCCGTGATGGGGCACGGACCGAAGCGCTCTGCCCCGCTGCCCGCCCGTGAGAGGGGCAGGGACCGCAGCGCTCTGCCCCGCTGCCCGCCCGCACGGCCCCGCCAACACATGCATCAGCGCCGAGCTTTCCGCACAAACTCCCGTCGTGGGGAAAACCTTGCCGAAGCGGAGCTGCGGGCAGCAAACGAGCGAGCTGCGAGGCTACGGGGCCGTCTCCAGCGGCGATTTCTGTCCCTCGGCACCTGTCCGCGCTCCCCGGCCCCGCGTTTGCCCGCACCCTCGCCCGCTGCCCCCGCGTTTGCCCCGCAGCTCCGGTCCCCGCCCCGGCGGTCCCGGCGCTCCCCTCAGCGCTCCTCGGCAGCCTCGGCGGGCTGCGAGAGGGAGCGGATTTTAAAGCGGGCTGCGTGCCTGCCCCCCACCCCGTCCGCCCCCTCCGCACGCAGGGAAAGCAGAGGAAAAAGTTGCGCTCTCCGGCCGCCCACGCCTCGCTGTCCGCCCGCGGCTGCGGCAGGACGAGCCCGGCGGCGGCGGGGCCGGTGCCGGTACCTGTGCCGCCGATGCCCTGCCGGGAGCTCTCCAGGGGGAAGATGCCGGCGCACTTCTCCCGCTCCACCTGCCCGCCCAGGCACAGCTCCGAGATGATCTGCAGCGCCTTGTGGCAGAGGCTGCCCACGCCGTCCTCCGCCGGGAAACTCATCTTGCGGCCCGGCCGCCGCCGCTAGGCCATGGCCGGCGCGGGACGGCTCCGCGCCCGACCCGCGCTGCCTCCCGCGGGGAGCGGAGCGGCGGCGGCGGCGGGAGCTGCGCGAGTGCACCGAAGAAGTAGTGAAGGAGCGGGAGGAGGCAAAAAAAAAAAAAAAAAAAAAAAAGGGGGGGGAGGGAAAAAAATAAAAAGAGTGGGAAAAAAAATAAACATCCACTTAGCAACGCCTTTTGTGGCTCCGGGCTCCGGCAGGCGGCTCGGCCAATGGCAGCCCGGCGCGGGGGGCGGGGGGCCCTCGCATCCCCCGGGAAACTTTTCCTTCCCCCGCCCCGCGGCCCCGCTCGGTGCGGAGCGGAGCAGTGCGGTGCGGTGCGGTGGGCGGGAGCGGCGGGCGGAGCGCTGTCCCCTCCCGGCCGCAGGACCACCGGCCCCGCGGGGCAGCGGGGACAGATCCCGGAGCAGCTCCTCGGCCGCTCATCGCGCCGCCAGCACCGAGCAGAGCTGCTGCCCCACCGCTCGGCTCGTTTATTCCGAGGTGACCTCGGCGGGGTGATCTTCAGCGCGGGCTACCGAGCCGCGTCGAATAACTTCATTGACCAAATCACCGTCTCCACCCCGCTTCTCCGCAGCGGAGGCAGCGGGACTCTTGACTGTCGATTTCTTTAACTTCTAAAGGAGTTAGAGGAACTTTACGGTTGTCTGGTCTGTTTCCGCAGCAAATTCTGTAATGTTGGGTTATTTTATAGATACAAAAGTTGCAGCTACGGGGTATGTTTCTACTTCTAAAAATCAGCGCAGCATATACCACTAGTGGTTGTTTCAGTTATTGGCTGTGGGACTGAACAAGACTTCATCTGTTAACGTGTTCATCTACTTACTGAAATTCTAACACAATTTTATGTTTGTGAGGGAAAATTCCTCTAGTTCGGTGGCATACATATGTCTTGCAATGTTAATTCTAACTAAGCATAGCTGGAAGGATGTCTGCCAGCCTTTTACTTAGCAGCACTGCCTGTAGTCTGCTGCTTGGGTGTCTTGGTTTCATAGGCATGAGAAGTTAACTTCTGTGCTGCTGTGCTTTGTTTCCCCTCTGGATTTTGAATTTTTTATTTGTTACCTGTAAATAAATATCTCTAGCAAACTATCAAGTTTAACAATTGAAAACTTTATGACCATTCTTTGATAGCTGAATTGCGGAATAAGAATATTAATTATTATTCCAGTTTTAATTCTTGAATTCTATACTTTATATAGCATAGATTCTTGTTAAAAACACAAGAAGATACTTCTAAACCCCAGCCTTTAGTGCTTTGAAGGAGCATGCATTTATACAGAATTCCTGCACGTGTACCTTTCAAAATCTTAGGAAAGTAATAGATTAAGTTGTACACAAACTGTAACATCAACACAAAATCTGTTTCACAAAGTTGTTTTTTTTTTTTTGTAGATATATCACCTATTTCAGAAATGTCAGATGCTACTAAAGAAATTGTTCCCCATTTAATGCCTTTCCTGAGACTAGCATTGTCAAAACCCTTTGTTAATGCTGCAAAATGTTCTGTCAAATCTTAGAATGTTTAGACTGCAACTAGTCAGGGCACAGAACTGTGGAGGTCTATTTGAAGACTCTTTTCACCCTCATAGGGAACTAAATATGTATAATTATTAAAATAGTCTTGCTAGCAATAAAAATGTATGTAGATATTTTCATTAGAGTGAAGGCAACTGCTGCCTACATCCAAACTTCAAAATATGAACATATTTACTGTCTGGGTGACATTTACAGTCCTGTTCCCAAAATTCTGTCATGCATCACCAATTAATAATTAAGCAGTCTGTTTATCTTTGAGACATACCCAGAACTCTAGCAAAAGCTAACAGGGGACACATATACATAGAAAGGGTCTTAATCAGAAATTGGTGTTAATGAGAGCAAGGACTGCGTTTAAAGGCTGAAACCTAAGCTCCTTAATTTCTGAAGTTTTCTACAGATTGTGCCCATGGATGTGTTATACAGCCCATGAATGAAATTTTTGGTCTCTGAAGTGAATGGCAGATTTGCCACTGATTATAGTAAAGTCCCACACATAGACCAGTTTGCTAACCTGCTTGTCTTTGCACACACGAACTTCATTTCAGTGAAAATCACACCACCTCAGTGTTATTGATATTATTGATGCATACACAGATGCAGAAAAGCACAAACAGGTGCATTCTACAGTAAATTTAAAAAATAAAATGCCCCTGCTTTTGAAGACTTTCAGGTAGGTATCTGGAAGTGGATACCCAACTCATCTCTCTTAGATGTCCTAATTATTTTTAAAATACGCTTTTAGGTGTATAGAAACACTAGCCACACTAACTAGTACCTTTATCAGAGGCATCTGAAGTATCTAAATCCTCTTCTTCAGTAAGTAGCATGGATATAAACTGAAATTAATCAATAGAATCGTTTTTCTCAGTCTTAGTACTATGAGATTAGTTTCAACAGATTAATGATTCTTCTGGTGAGATATGCTGACTAACTTGTCCTAAAGCAGTTCCAGAAACAACTTGTATTGTTGGAATCAAGTTATTGATGAAGACAATGCTTCACTTTTCTATCGAGGATTTTAGTCTTAAATATTAATTCAGATTACCAATCATGGCATTTTTCTCCAATATGTTCTTTTAGTGGAAAACAACTTTTTCTGCATATGGAAGGACATAACAGCTTGTTTTCGAGCTACAACTCCTACTGCTTTGATTTTCAATAGCCTGGCAACTTTTAAATTAATATGCTGCACCGTGTGCCCTGGTATCCACAAAGACCATTAATTTTCCCTGTGGGAGTGGCCCCACATGGTGTTTTAGGACACAGTAACCTCTTGCCTCATGGGTTCCAGTCTGTGCCATCAGACCAGACTGTACCAACTTTTGCTGTTCTGACTGCTGGTCATTACCAGGTTCACACTGGCTTGACAGCTTCTTGTTGACTAAGGGAGAAAATTCCTCTTTTTTTTCCAAATTAATTGCACATATTCACATCCTCAGGTTGTCCATAAAGTATCCAACCAGAGGTAGGGGTACAATGCTCTGGACAGGAAAAACATGGCAAAAATGCTTGGTTTTGTGAGAGGTATCCTTTAATGAGGACTGTGTTGGGGGTTTTGAAGTTTAGGCAATACAGCCTATATATAAATGAATACAAAAGTTTTGGCCTCAGTCTCTTGATTTGAAATCAAAAAAAAAAAAAAAAAAGAAAAAGCATTGGGGCTGGGGGAAAAGAGACATTTCAATATTCAGCTTTTAAGAAGCTATGAGTAGAAGAAAAGATGGAAACTATAGGTTGCAAGCACTATTTGCCTTTGCAACAGATACAAATACTTTTTTCCCCCAATAACATCTCTGTAAATTCCTTGTAAACAGCAAAATAAACCCTGAAACATTAGAGATTCCTTTACTCTATCTACATATTTTTAATCCTCTACTTTTGAATAAGCAGTGAAGGAAAAAAAAAGGCATACAGCAGTAGTCCAGGAGCCAGTCAAAGCTGAATGTTCCTAATCTGCAAATTAGAAAGACTTCTATGAGCACGTATGAACATGGATTCTTCCTTAATTTAAGCAGTAATACAAAAAAAAATTAATTTTTTTTTCTACCATTCTTATAATTTTTTCTTCTTGCTTCCACAGTTTCATAATATGTGGTACTGCAGGGTCCTCCACTGGGTTGCTTCTTCCAGCTTCTAATTTACTATGAGTAAAACTCATAATCATAAGGAGAGCTCCCCAAATTTTGTCCAAACAGATGCTTCTTCAATTTTCAGAAATACTGAGCAACTGTTACTTTATTTTTTTTCCACTTGATTTGGTGCAGTTGGTACTTAAGACCACAAATCTGAGCAGAGACAGTCCTTCAGGACCTGTACGAACAGATGAAGCCATTTCTGAGAGCAGGCAGCTAACAATGTTGGCAGTTTTGTGAAAATATTTTTTAAGAGCTGTATGGCATGGAACAATTTATGAAGATTTAGTATAAGTCCTGCAGAATAATTGGCTAGGGACAGAGGGAAAAGTGATTACTAGTCTATTTTATTTCAAATTGTGCTTTTTATGTGATACATGGCGTTGACAAATTTTTGGTGTCTTGGAGCCCTGCATCCACTGTGAGTTGTTTGCTTTTTAGCTACTAGCAGGTAATTACATAAAATCCCTTTTTTTCCACTGCAAAATCCTAAGCATGGCGTGTGGTATTTTTTATGGCTATTTGAGCAGGAGGAATGGCAGAGCAACGAACTGGGAAGCCAGCAGATCCCTAGAGCTCATCCTGGCTCATGGGGAGAATGGATATATATTTTGGTTCTCACTTGGTGAGTCCAGTGGACAGACTATTGGAAGAGGCAAGAAGGGCAAATTAAAGGGATTTAATTTTAATTTCCTCCTCTGATACTCTGATAGTTTTGAGCGCTTTTTTTTTTTTTTTTTTTTTTTTTCTATATAAAGTATTTCTGGGTCTAGTCAACCTTTTATGTCTGCCATTTCTCAGCTGAAGGGCTTCCTTGTCTCCTCTCTGTGGCTGTACATTTTTATCATTTTCACCTAATTTTTGAAGCAGAAGAAAAGCAAGGTCACAGAGAAGCAGCATGTTTGAGCATGCATGTGTGACATGTTGCCTTAAAAGGACATATCCTATTGCATGTTAACAAGCTCTGTTGCCATTTTCCTTCCTATTACCTTCCCTTCTTTCTCCTAGCTGCACTTACTGAGGAATGAGGTTGTGACTGGCATTTCTTCAGCTTCAGGAGAAGATACCATACTGAAATAATGATTTGCAAAGTTGTTTGGTTTGAAGAACTCATAGAATAATAGGAAAATAGTATTTTTCTTCTCTCAGCATACTTTTCAAAGTTTTTCCTGAAAGCCAACTTTCTTAAAATACTCTGTATTGTAATACAAGCCAACCCTAAGCTTTGGTGAAAAAAGGTATTTTTTGCTACTAGAATTGTTCAATGCAGCCAGGTTTTGCTGATTAATTTGGGCTATTCCTCTGTACCTAATGAATTTCTGTCTCTGTGTGCCTTCTAGTGATATGGCTGTGAGCATGCTCCTTAATGATTTTCAAGCTCTATTATCAACCTAAACGCAGACACAAGGAGCTTGTTTGGTGAATATAATTTTTGTTCCAGTTTTGTTCCTCTGTACATGATTTTCATGGTAGAGTGCCTCCTATAAAAGCCCCAAAATTATTCTGCTTAAAAAATATTTAATTAAAAAATCCTGATAAATTA